CCTGCAGAGTTCAGCTCCAACCCTAATAAAAACTCACCTGCCTGTAGCTTCCTAGTAACCCTTCAGACCTTGATTAGCTTGTTCAGGTGTGTTTGATTAGGCTTGAAGCAAAACTCTGCAGGGCTGCGGCTCTCCAAGACTGACGTTCGCCACCCCTGTAATAGGCTATGTCCCAAAACACACTTCAGGAAACCATTACTTAATTGATGGTTTGTAGTATTTGTAATGGTATTTGTAGTGGAAATCATTCAAATTTCTGTGATGGTTTCTATTGTTTTTGTCAGCAGGGTCACCATGTGTTTTGTGATGTTATTTGCCATAAATGCGATAGGATTGCTGTAATATTGTGAGATAGTAGCGACTGCTTGTAGTTGTGGTGGGTCTATTTGGGAGAAAATCCAGGGCTGTTTTTTACTCCCAGTCCGTCCCTGAATATGGGTGATGTATTCTGCTTTCGCTGCATTTTTGTGGCTGCCAAGTTTCAGCTATAGAAGCACGCAACATCCGGTATGTGACGCTTGCTCGCTCTCATTGGCTATCGCGGGTATCACGTCAGAGGCAGCCTGATCAAGAGTCGGAAATATCAAACATGTTTGATATTTACGATTTGAGTTCGGGGACGCTCCGTCTCGATCGGGAGCAGTTAAATAATCGTAATGACACCACACAATAGAGGATTTTTTGGACAGAAAATCATTTGCGACGAGCCGCGAATCGGGCCACCCCCCCCCACATTGTTTAGGGGTGCAAATCAGCCTTAAAATCTTGTAGTGTGTGGCCAGTCTAATAGTCATAAGTAGCTCTGTGTGAGATTTCTGCAGTTGTTAACTGTTCAATCACCAGAGTCACTCTGAAAAAAAATCTATTTTGATCTGACGTTGGGTTAACTGGAATTTTTGTACCTTGCTGTTAATTTATTTCCTTCAAAACAAAAGTTTACTCTTCTGTCCCATCTGGGCTGCCATTTTTACACTTTCTTATTAAATCTTTGCTGGGGTGCCAGACAGGTATAAACACTGTCAAAATCTTCAACATTAAGTTTGTTTGCCTTCTAAAAGTCATTATTTAATCAGGTCAAGTCATAATGAAAGTGAACAAAGGATACATGCACACATTACTTCATTTTTTGTCACTTAACATGCATCCTTAAAATTTGCAAGAGTAAACATCAAGAAAACCAAAATGCAAACTTGCAGTTTCTTCACAGTGTATTTACAACATTTGTGTGTAATTCCAGCACACCACCAACTCACAGTTCATTGAGAGCATTGTCCAACACAAAAACATCAACATCAGCATCATCATTACACTTAAGACATTCCACATCAACACTATTTAAATAAACCAAGTCTTTAAAGAGAAGGAAGGTAAAGAGTCAACGTCAGGGTTCCTTAAAGAACTAGACTTTGTATTTGTTACTCATGCAACACTGCATCCCCATTCATTAAGAATCCAATCAGCTCAGTCTTTTACCGATTCCACAGTATCTCAGAAAGCTGTCATTACTCACATTCACTGTATAGTCTCCAATTGTGATGATTTGGGACTTTATGCTGAAGACTAAAACTCACTTCCTTGATACACCAACAACGGCAAAACCAAAGTCCCTTTAAATCAAGTCATGTCACTCGGCAGCCATCTTTGGAGCGCCTCTCGGGCATGCAAGTGCAGCTCCTATCACTTTGTATGGGGAAACATCAAATTCTCCCAAACTGTTCACTAGCTTACGATTAAATTTCATATTTGAAATCACCAATGAAATCTGACAACAACTGCATCATAAATGTTGTTTCTTTTGCTCATATATCATTATAAAAAGCTTATTTTTCAGGCTAGATCAGCCAGTGCACATGCGCAGTCCTAGGCGCACGTCTCAGAATGCTGACTGTTTCTATAGCAACCGGGACACTTTTACAACATTCAGACGCCATCTTTATTTTTTTATCTCAACCGTCACGGAATGGAATGCACAGGATTGTGGGATATCAAAGGCAGCTAAGGATACATATATGCTGCCTTCAAAATTCGATCAGAAGAAGGTACCTCCGGAGACAGGAAGTGAAGCAGAATTTGGATTCGGACGTGCCTTGATGCCTTCCTGCCTTGAAATTTAAAGGGGTCATATGATGCGATTTCAATTTTTCCTTTCTCTTTGCAGTGTTACAAGCTCTTGGTGCATAAAGAAGATCTGTAAAGTTGCAAAGACTAAAGGACGCAGTCATAGTCTTTGGGCAAAACAAAGTACTTCCAGACGCAGACTGACGATTCTCCTGTGTTCCGATTCTCCGTTTACAATGGCTGGGAACTCAATTATGGCTGCACTCGCTCTCGGAACACACAAGCCACGACAGGACGTGATATATTCCAGATGCAGAACCAGATGAGTAACTTTCAATCCATCAGGCCGAGTAAATCGCCGACGCAATCAACTTTTCGTCGCAAAAAACAACAAATACGGCCATTAATCCTTCCAATCAACTCTTCTTTTCAAGTCCCCGCCATCTCTTTTCAACTTTCCGAAGAGTTACGTCATTGCCCTTCTGGTATTCTTGCCCGGACTAATATAACCGCCATCTTAGTTGGGGCAAATGTTAAACTATATACAGATAATATGTCTTCAATATTTACAGTTCATCTCAGCGATTATAAATTCCATTCAGGGTATTTATTTTATTAAAAGAAAAAAAAATGAAAGCGCCTTGTCACAAAGTGTCATTTAGTGATTACTCGTCTTTAAAATATCTACTGTAGGTATTGTGCTGAAAGGTGCTCCATGCTTTCTATTTATCATTATTTACAGGCCTCCAAAATACTCTCCAGCCTTTGTCGAGGACTTTACAGAACCGTTATCAACTATTTCAACAAAAGTTTGACTATTTTGCCATTGATGGGTTTTAATATTCACAGAAATGAGAAATTAAGACTGCAAAAGAAATCATATAACTGTTTTCAACATGTTTTATCTGACTCAACATGTGCATGGACCCACATGCAATTGTGGATACATTCTAGATTTACTTATTAGTAAGGGTCTAAACATTTAATTGATTTTCATCCATTGTTATTAAGGACTATCTGATAATTTCAGTATTTTCTTTGGAGATATTGATCTCTGCTACCACTGATCTAGATCTGTATCTGTCAGAATGAGATGCATACATGAGAACACTAGTGTGCTATTTATGAAGGCTTTCTTTAACACCAAGCGTATTGGTTGATTTTCTCCTTGATTCCTTTAACTCAAAAGCTAAGAATGGTATTGATGCTATTGCTCCTGTGAAAGTCTGTAAGACGACTGGCAGACAAAAAGCACCTTGGAGAGACTCAATGAAAAGCTGAGAGGATGTGGTGGAAGACAAAACTTGAAATCCGCTATAACAGGGGTGACCTGCAGAGTTTTGCTTCAAGCCTAATCAAACACACCTGAACAAGCTAATCAAGGTCAAGTCAAGTCACCTTTATTTATATAGCGCTTTTAACAATACAGATTGTGTCAAAGCAACTGAACAGCATTAATTAGGAAAATAGTGTGTCAATAATGCAAAACGACAATAGTAAACACTCATTTTAAGGTCTGAAGGGTTACTAGAAAGCTACAGGCAGGTGAGTTTTAATCAGGGTTGGAGCTGAACTCTGCAGGGCTGCAGCTCTCCAGGACCGGAGTTCACCACCCCTGCACTGTAACATCTAAAAAGACAGCCTTCATGTGGATCTAGGCCAGTGGTTTTCAATCCTGTTCCTCGGGACCCACTGCTCTGCTCATTTTGCATGCCTCCTTTATCTGACACACTCATTTGAGTTCATGGAGCTCTTTCCTAATGAGCTGATGATCTGAATCAGGTGTGTAAAATAGGGAGACATGCCAAATGTGCAGAGCTGTGGGTCCCCAAGAACAAGTGTGAAAACCACGGATCTAGGCACAGCTACTCAGACCTTCTTAACAAAACTTATAAACAGCACACACTCTTTTTGCTACTGTTGAGACTTACAGAAAACTACTTTAAAAAACACACATAGCAGAACATAACATACCTCATTTGGTTTTTTTACTTTTAGCCTTTATTTGGTCTTCCATTGAAATAATCAAACTCAAAGATTTTCTCTAACTTTTTATTTATGCAATGATTGCTTTCCAAGTATAAACAACTAGCTTAATCAGCCTAGCTTTTATCAAACAAACTGATACAAATTTCAGCGACTTACAGAAAACTACTTTAAAAAACACACATAGCAGAACATAACATACCTCATTTGGTGTTTTTACTTTTAGCCTTTATTTGGTCTTCCATTGAAATAATCAAACTCAAAGATTTTCTCTAACTTTTTATTTATGCAATGATTGCTTTCCAAGTATAAACAACTAGCTTAATCAGCCTAGCTTTTATCAAACAAACTGATACAAATTTCAGCAAACAAATTGTAAATGTCACTTTATATCTACTTACTTTCATAAAATGAACAGATTAAAATAAAAACTGTCAAAATGATTTATGTAATGTAACTACATATGCATTAAAAAAAATCTACCACTACTACTAAGATATGTACATTGCATGTAGCTCATTATCTGCATTAAAACAGGGCATCAATACAATAAGCAAGGATTAAAAAGGTACATAATATTTAGAAACTGAACAGCTGATTTTCTGTTTTGTATTTTTTTTGTTTTACTATTACAGTAATGCTTTTTTTCACTGCACAGTACCAGATTATAATGCGTTGATATTTATTGATATTACTATATCAACGTGCTAATGTTTTTGGAACAGTGAACAAAAGTGTAATTTCTGAATGGTTTCTGTAATGCCACAGCGTTATGGTTCATCTGATGTCGGCAGGTCGGAGCTGTCGTTCTCCTTCAGCCAAAAAGATCTGCATTGCCCTGTACAACAGGTGAACCCCTAACTCCCGTTTTCTCCGCACAGGCCAAGTTGACACCACACCATAGTAGTCTCCTCTTTTCTGGTTTGTGAGCATCTTCAGCCCTATTAAAAGATCAACAGGTCAACAGACATGCAAAGAATGATTATAACTATCCAAGCAGCCCAGCTGAGCGTCTCTTTACCGATGGCATCCACCATACAGGCCTCACGTGTGTAGGCTTCCACTGCAATGACGTTCTGGAAACAGTGCAGGGATATCACTCCGTGCCCTGCATTCCAGACCTGCAGGATGTGCTGCACTTTTGAGCAGAGTTTCTGGAGACATAAAGAGAACAATACCAGGAAAATATGCAGAAAGACCCACTGGCAATAACAATCAAATGAATCTTTTGAGTAGATTGTTTTCAAAGCACCAGTTCAAAAACTCCACTGGATGATTCTCATGTGGTTCCAAACCCATAAGACTTTTGCTCATCTTCAAAACAAAAATTAAAATATTTCAATAAAAACATCTGTCCCTTCACTTAAAGTTCATTCTACATAAATTCTCACAATTCAAAAAGTTCATAAAAAACTATGAATCAAGCAGTTTAACAAAGTGCATCAAATATAAACTCAATATTTGATTAATATTTTATTATTTTCTAATTTTTTACACTGTTTTGGCCATTTTTAGATACATTCGTCAGAGACACCACACAAATTTGTTAATGATTTGTGTAACACGGGGAAAAAAATGCCATGTAGTATTGCCAAGTATTTTTTATTCAGTAATGCTGTAGTAACTAGTACAGTTAGTAATAAGATTAACATCATTAAAACTGACTGTTATCAAATAATAATCTGCTGTTGTGAATATGCAAACTGTAGGGGGTCCAGTGTGGAGCCCTGTTTTCTTTATCCCGCTCCCACTGAATTTCTGACCATTAGCGCCCGCTCCCGCAACGTGTGTGTCCCGCTCCTGCGATTTTTGTGTCCACTCCCACAAACATTCTAATATTGCATATCATTTTCAGGGAGCCGCTATGAATACGTGGGGTATTTAAATCGTTTTTGAGTGAGCGCTCGATGCTCACTTTCACTTTCAAATTCGTAATCATGCGCACTCTGTGTAAAGGGAGCACATCTTACAAGATCAGATATTGTGTCAATGAGCTCAGGATCTGCTGAGCAACAAATCATCCAGCATGACCTGTCAATCATCTCCTTACTCTCGACTCGTGATCAGTCAAATCTGACTCCTGCAGCTCCTGTTGGATGCAGGGATGTCAAGTCCTTGTTTTTTTATTTCCATGGAACTGGACCTCTTTTAAACTGTTGCCATGGTTTGATTTTCCTCTGTGGGTTAAGTGTTTGAAATATTGCATAAATTAACATTTGACTGAAATGTCTGTATTGAAACATTTTGCATTCTACGCATGATAAAACTGTGCTCTTATGTTAAGTTATGTGAAGGATGGTCACTGTTAGGAAGCCTTTTAGCTGTGTTTATAATCAATAACCGGTTTACCAACACCGGTTTATGTAGCCTAACTCATTTTTGGACTGTGGGATGTCGGGATCTGCACTACATTTTTTTGACCCCCCACTCACACCCGCGCAGTAAAGGTTAAACTTTAAACAGTTAAACAGCTGAGAAGAGCATCAGGGCCTCTCTCCCCTTGCTTGCCGCAAAGCACTGGCAAAAGTAATTACCATAAATGCGTCATGGGGAAACAGTAAGGAGATATTTGAATTATTTACTAATAAACTAGTGAGTCGGTGTCGCAAGGATGAAGTTGCCGATCCTGACTCGCCATCTCTTCATTAGACGCGCCTTTAGAGAGAAGTGCATCTTTACGGATTATGAT